ATAGAGGAGAAACAATAATGTACAGTATGTGGAAAATAATGTGTTTTTTGAACCTTAAACCGCATAAACACATTTCATTACACCAAATACACAAAATAATGTTCTTTTTAGCAGCATCATATGACCCCTTTAACATGATTTCAGCTAACAAAGCTAAATTTACTAAACAAAATTGTCAGATTTTTTTTGCTGATTCAAAAAGTCTTGACAAACAGCTTTGGATATTTGTCTTTTCCCATTCAAGTAGATAGGAGCTGTGTATCTTTTATCTATATAGAAATTAGCTGCAAATAGGCGTTACCAAGATGGCCGCCGAGAGACCTGACAGAGTCAGGGACTGTAGGAGCTTTGTTTAAACTGATAAAATAAATTCTTTGGCATTTCAGACATCAGAGACAGTATAAACTCTGCATGTTCATAGACCTGACAATACTGGTTGTCTTGTCTAATAAAGGTTAGTTTTAAAGATGACTTAAAAATAGCTGAAAACCAGTGGAGTAGTTTCTTTGAGCTGTCAGTTAAAAAGGAAAATGTTGTAGAAGAGAAGAAAAGACAAATATCTGCCCACCATCCTGTTTCTATGCAGATGTTTCAAGGCCATAAACAGGATGGTTCCCTTTGCAACAAGATGTGAATGTTTTGGGCAGAAAAGAGTCAAATATGATCTTTCAAACGAAGAGTAAAGCTGTGTGTTGTTATGCAGGGGTGAAGCTTGAAGGAAAAATGTTGTGCTTATCTTGAATATAAATGCTTATGTAATATATATTCGTTGTGTCTAAATCGTGTTATTTCATAAGATTACATCATCTCTTTAAGATCTATCACCCGTGCATAGCCTTGCAAAAATGCTAGATTTCTGTGTGACCCTGAGATGCTTGAATATCTGCTATCAAGAATGATAAACTGGCGTTGAAAATCACCAGTATTGTGCAAATAATTGTACTTTTCTTGTCTTCCCCCTTTGTATGCGATTAATAGTGAGTTCCTTTAGCAAAATGACGAAGGCCATGTTCTCCATTATATGGTTTAAGTGTTGGAATGGAAACAACTAGCCAGAATCAGTCTATCAATAACAATGATTATTGATCTAAGATATTCAAGCATATCTCATTCTAAATGAACCTTGTTTCTAATTCTTGTACATGTGTATGATGTCTATACTGTGTGACCAATACGATATGTGTGGCCTCTGACTGGTTTCATTTTCTGCCCTGCCCTTATTGTGGGAGACTCACCAAGTGTAACATGCATTTTAGAGGCCATTAAAAGTTATGAGTGCAATCAGTTATTCCATAAACATAGAATATTATATATTCTATAACAAATAACTGACGCTAATGTAGTTTTAAATTATGAATCAAAGTATTTGATGAAAATGTTAAGTTGTTTATGTGTCTAAAATGCTCACACTTGGACTCCAAACTAAGGGATTCAGAGGAATGTCATGTGGATGTGCTTTTCTCATGATATGTGGAGGACATGTTACAATTGCAGTGACCATGTCAAGATACAAATTGATTGTATGTGTGTTCTGACCTTGTTCCTGAACTAACCACCTTTTAGCAGAACTTGTACACCCAATACTGTTTAATGAGCTGCTGTGGGATATTTTTAATGCATACACAGTCTATTTGATGTTCTTTAATGTTATGCTATATTTCCTTAAATGTGATCGAAAGTTAATCTCCTTTTACCAACAGTTTATACAAAATTTATACAAACGCTCCCAAAAGTTGTATATATATATAAATATATTGTTTAGCACTATATAACAAGAAATTTCTACATATTGACAAAGAATTAAATATAAAATCTATTTATTTACACTAAAGCCTGATTCCTCATTCATAGCTGATGCTGTATTCCATTCCAACTCAGAAACTCTTGAGTTTCTTGCTTGCAAAAGTTAAAAAGAACTTGGTTACAAAAGATTTCGATTTCAAATAAATTCTGTTCTTTTTAACTTTCTATTGACCAAAGATTCCTGAAAAAATATACTATGATTTCCACAAAAATAATAAGTAGCACAACCGTTTTCAACAGTGATGATAATGAGAAATGTTTCTTGAGCTCCAAATCAGTATATTAGAAAGATTTCTGAGCACCCTAGTAATGGCTGCTGAACATTTGTCTTTTCCATCACTTTAACAAATTAGATTTATATAAAAATGTTAAATAAATTGTAAATTAAAATTTACATTTTAATAATATTTCACAATATTACCGTTTTTACTATATTTTTGATCAAATAAATGCAGCCTAGTTGAGTATAAGACACTTCTTTCGAAAATATTGAATAAAGACCCCACACTTTTGAATAGTTGTGTACAGGGAGATGTACACAATTTGATACTTTTTATCAAATTAAATGTGTAAATAAATCAGTCAAAGTTCTTACATGAGGGTAAAATTTGTTTGCAAAACATGGTAAATCATGAAAATTGATGAATTATCTGATGATAATTTTACATGTACAGTATCATTGTTTATCCTCCACAGTTTGGTTAATATTTGGTTAAATCCATAGATTTCCTGTGGATCAAATGATGGAGCATGACATGAGCAACCTCAACGCCATAGGTTAGGTTTACATGGAATGCATTAACTGATAAAATGTATTCCTTGAATGCAAGTTGCTTTCGAAAAATGCATCTAACAAATGCATAACTGTATCTTATTTATACATCATCTCATTGTCAGGCAATGAATGATTTTTGTTCAGAGATTTTAAGATATCATGTAGGAATATTCCACATCTGCCTTTGAATGGAATGCAGCATAACACACAGTCTGACCAGCAACTGACTAAGGAGTCATCCCACAGCTTAAAAAAAAGAAAAAAATCTAATTTGTGAGTGTGCTCTGACCACAGTCCATACCCACCCTTTGTCCATCAACCCCTACTCCTCAGCCCTAATCGAGGCTGATGGGAGCTATAGTCCTTCATGACTATTCCCCGGGGTGCTGGACTAACACTTGTGCTAGTTGGGAATAACTCCATATCCCAAGATGGATCAAAAGTTCATTCCTCCCTCCCCCACTCACACCTGCTCTTCCCTTCCGTGAGGTAGTGCTGAGATGTGTTGATGTTGAGGACATGCAGCAGACGGTGAGTTGTCCTCCTGACTAGTCTGTGCTCTGTTCCTCCACTGTTCTTTGCTTTTGCTTTTATGGGTGTGATGCTCAGAGGGCTTTCACAAGGGGCCTGCATCATATCTAGCATGTTTGTGTGCTCATGTATGTTTATATACTGTATATGTTCCATTAGTTCCTATAGTCTGTCATACTATATATCTGTGCCATTAGCCATACAGCTTATTATTTGACTATGCTCATATTTCGAGTTTTATATTTATATATATATATATATATATATATTAAGGGAGTGTGTAAGTTATGATCCATTCCAATAAAAATATTTAATAATATATAAAATATTATTTTATAATGTTTTATTATCTTAAATTTATTTGGGGAAAATCACTTAACCAAAATATCTAAAGAATGATATGAGTGAGAGACATCAGCCATTTTTGATTGTTTTGAAACTATTCAATATCAGTTGACTTTTTTTTTTTTTCCTGTCTTCATTTGGTCACAGCCACACATCTCATTGACCTTGCCTTGCAGAGCGAGAGTGCTGGCAGATGAAGAAAGCTTACACTGAGGGGCCATCTCAGCCGGCTCAGGGGGCCCCGGGGCCCTCCATAAAGGGGCGCTTGTGGGTTCTGACTGAGGCTAAAGGTGACAATTACCCCCAAAGATCACATGATCTGTAGATGAAGGAGAAAGCTTTATTACACAGTATCTTCTAAAAAGTACTCATGTTGTGAAGAGTTACAATATTTTATAAAACTCTCAAGAAATCTATTTTGAGATAAAAATGACAGTTTTTATTACTATTTTTAAATATGTGAAACAAAAATGTAGTTCATTTTAATTGATGCCAGCAAATCAACTCTGTGCAGAGATTATTGGTGCGTACTGGTGCCCTTGTGGGTCATACCTTTTGAAGACTGCCAGTAATTCTTAGCTTGTGGTTTCTAAGATGTCAGCTAGCATAGTTTCAAAATAAAGCAAAGCAATATGATAGCCATTCAGAATAAAGCTTTCACCTTTAATAGAACCCCCTCTGTGAGTTGGATAGCTTTCGGTGTTGTGGACTTTTACTGTGTTTTTACCAAGTCTTCGTCAGTGGTTGGTTGGAGGTGTACAGGTCTGTTTGTATACCTTTTCATAGGGGTGCTCAAGCCTGGTGTCCCAATGCCACTGCCTGTTTATTGGCATTTTTGTTCCTGAACAATTAGGCTACAAGCCTTTTTTGATGTTCTTGTTTGCACCAATCCTTTGCATCGAGACCTTTGACGCATGCAATATAATAGTGGTGCTCCGATCAGGATTTTTGAGGCCGATCGCCGATCAGAGAAAGCAGTATCTGCCGATCCGATCACCGATACCGATCTTTTTAAAGCCTTCTTTTTATCATGTAGAATTATTTATAGTGATGATCCAATCAAGATTTTTAGACATTTTTTCAGGGCCTGAATTTCATTTTTTAAAATTAATTCCTATCTTTTTTTTTTTTTTTTCATTTGAGGGGTGGAGGGGGGCATTTTTTTGACATTTTTCAAAAATATATATTTAGCTCACTTAAATGTTTGATCATGCACTGTATTTTTGTTTTTACAATTGTGTAATTGTTGCACAATAGCTTACACAGTGCAAGCCTGATTTTGTGAGCTGTATGTGAAGTTCACACATACTCCGTTTGCAGTGCGCATGTAGTTCATGTGTGGTACAGAAGCAGCACGGACTGTGCCTTTCACACAGGAGTCTGCTCCTGATCTGTGGCTGTTTACCACAAACACAACATTCATCCATAATTTAGATTTTAAATCCAAACATTGTTACTTAAAATGCTTTTTCAACATTGTGATTCTTTTTTTACACAGTACAGTAATACAATCTTTCATCAATTATTCAATGCTTTTTACTTTTGCATTTACTTTAAGTTTTAAGATTTATATATGAAGTTGCTAAAGCAAAACAATTAAACTATCTTATGTTACAATTAAACTTTCTTATGTTATCACAAACATTCTAAATTAAAACTTGCCACTGACAGAAACAGTCAGCTCTACTGCCTTTTCTTTTGCATTAAAATCTTTATTACAAGCAATCTTGCGGTTCATAAGGAACTTTAATTAAGAACTTTAAAATTATTGCCTTGTTTATCTAAAAGTGCTTTTTTTCCTTTAAACCTAGCCAAAAAGCCATAGCCTATGTGTTGACTGTGAATCACAGTAGACTTTAATTATATGCATCTATGGTGTAATTACTACATTTTTGTGTCAATGCATGTTCATATTTACCGCAAACAATGCGCTGTTACTTTAATTCAGCGCGTGCAGCGCAGTAAAAATAGACTCGGTGCGGAAACGATCTTTGCACTGCTGCAGATGCACCGCTCCTAAACGCACTGCCAGACCGCAACCGTGTGTGCAGTGTGAACACTAATTTGTTAACATGAGCACGGAAAAAATACGCACCACATTTGCACTGCAAACAAAGTAATGTGAACCTGGCGTTATGTGTGTGCACTGCGAGTGTGCATGAGTGCACGCCCGGTCTCCAGGAAAGTGCGCGAGCGTTGAATGGTTTAAACACTGGCAAGAATTAAAAAGAAAAAAATCTATTTTATAAACTTTATTTTTTCATAAACTTTAGTGACGATGCGATACTGCCTCGATAGTGCAAGTGGCAATTCTTGTCAACTGCAGCGTGCAGACTCCATGTGATTTGAAGCCATTGGCATTCTGTGAGAGAAAGAGAGCGTGCGCGGTGATTCACGCTGTTTGTGAAATTATGTCTCAGAAACTTTTTCAAATGACTTTGTTTTGTTTTGTTTTGTTTATTTATATAGCACAATACAGCAACAGTCGTTGACCATTGTGCTGTACAAGAAATTATAAAATCAAATTAATAAAACACCAATCAAAACAATAAAACAACATAAAAGTCATATGGTACAGGAGGTAGTACATACAGAGGACAACAGAGACATGCTCAGGACGACTCACATGTTAAAATGTTTATAAGTTATTTAATGAAGAAATATGAATTGTACTATGGAAGCATATAGGTAGCGAAATTCAATTTAAAATGCAATATGCAAAATGGCAATGCAATATTCAAAATGGCAACGCAATATTCAAAATGGCATTGTATTTCTGTATTTAAATTTACATTTTCCATTACCCATACGTGCAAAGTTTGGTGCAAAAGTAAAATGAAAATTAAATTATATAATTTACATTTGCCATTTCCAACAGTAGTCTTAATATGTAAATTGCATGCAAATTTTAACGCTTTATAAGTTGCGAAATTAAAATGAAAATGTATAACACAAATTGATTTGATATGTGTAACATGTCCAAGCAGAAATGGTAGCAAAATGATAATTTAAATGCTATTTGTCCTAAATGCATTTAGACTAACAGTTAGAACACTTAGGATTGCATTTTCATTATTACGCTGTGGGATATTTGTAGCAAAATTCAATTTGAAAATGCATTCTCGAGCCAAACTGCTCTCACGGCAGGCGCGTCATCAGCTTGAGATCGGTTTGATGAGATCGGCCTTTTTAGAGACCGCTGATCAATCATCCCAAAGCGATTATCGGCCGATTGTGATTGGTAGCCGATCAATCAGAGCACCCCTACAATATAATCAATACGGTTCTCTAGAGAGCCATTTTGACGGATTTGACCTTTCTGCCCTTTACGCTCAAGTTCGCTTTATCCTTCCAGATAGCATGGAGGGTGTTTACTTTTCCACAATGGATGGCATTTTGAGTAACCAGGGCTTGGGTTCCCACAGAGTGATTTTTGTCCTTTCGGTGCTGTCTAATGTCCATTTACTATCTGCGAACCCCTGATCTCCCCTTCCGCTGTCACATTACTGTGTCAATGTGATGCTCTTTAAACTGTAAAATCAATGTAATTTGCAATTTGGCATACATGTTTACCTGTATTCTTTCTCACAGGTTCCATTAGTTTGTCTGTCTTAAATTTAATGGGATTTAATACCTCAGCCAAGAGCGACATGGAGAGACAATTTTAGAAGGGCGAGGGTAAGGTTCTTGCAGTATGTTGGGATGTTTTTTTTTTAATGCATCTGCAGGGGTCACCTCTATCTTCTCAACCCCCCACATCCCCCTAACGTACTTCATCAGCTGTGCGTTTTGCGCTTCTCTGTCTTCTTTTGTTAGTCTTATGCTTCTCTTTTTCTGTCTCTTTCTTTCAACCAGAAGTTTCTCCACAGGTGTAAGGAAACTCAAAAGGGTTGGTTACCTCCCAAAACTAACAGAGCACAAAATCCTGGGTTTATCCTCTGCCTCTAAACCCCTATCTGTACCTGTAACCAATACTAAACATGAGTCTTTTTCTCTCTCTCTCTCCTTCTTGGGGATATATACATGTATAAATGCAGTGTTATATATGTATATACCCATCTAAACTGTTGTGTATGTGTGTAAACCAACGTTCCAGCAGCTCTAGAGGCCATCACTTCCCTCAAGAGCTTTCTCCCGTCTAACAGTATGGATCCTTTTTTGCTTCTCTGTTTCTGTGTAGGTGTCTATAGTCAGCCTTATAGCTAATGCGCTGGGCTACTCCGAACTAGGGCCCATTAAATCACTCAGGACACTAAGGGCCCTGAGACCCCTCAGAGCATTGTCACGTTTTGAAGGGATGAGGGTAAGATACAAAAAGCTATAGAGCTGATCTCTCTGCATGCCCATTCAGCAGTTACAGCATGCTAGAACTGATCGAACGGCAAATAAAACGAACGGCAAGGACCACCGAAACCATACCGGGGGATTTTTCTTTTAAGACAGCCGCCAATGAAAAGGACTCACCCTTTTCATGCACACCTCTTCCGTACCACATCAATGATCCAGTCATGATGCAGCTGAGATAACTGTGGAAAATAGGATGTGAAACGCATCTCTGTTCCCTGATTTAACTGAAATCGGGTGTATGATTGACTGCTAGTTAAGTAATAGTCAATGTATCAAAGCTGCCTCATTACAAATAATATTTCAAATTGGCCCTGGAGGAAAAAATAGCATGAACAATTATTTACAAAACCAAACGCAACACCATTAGAATCCCTCCTCATTTCACACAGCATTTGATCTGCAATTGGCTGTTCATTTGGCCTGACTCAACTTCTGCTTTTGATGGAGAGCCCCCTTCCTTCCATTTCTCCTCTGTTACACTGACCCTGTCTCTCAGAGAACAACCAGCAGCACAGGACACTTTACCACTGAGGTCCCCACTTCACCCGTACTACGGCATTCTAGATATTCTCTTACCCTGATGACTCAAAGCACATTTAATATAATTGAACCTTTGCTAAGCTCCACCCCTTTGGTTACTGTTTCTCGTTCACTGTGAGTGTTATTAAAATGTAAAAAGTATCTTTTATCTACCAGCTTTCTAAAGAAATGAAATTACACAATGAATTAAGACTTTGAATCAAGGAAAGAGCTAAAATAAATTAAGTAAACATAACTGCACCTATGGTAATGTAAACTCTTTAGTTACTGTGATTTCTAGTACTATGAATCAATATGTAAATTAATTTAAATGAATAATAATCACTTTAAATTAAATTCAGTTGAACATGTTCATTTGGGAATAACACATCATATAATAATATTATATGTAAATAATGACAAATATTTTAAAGAAATTCATATTTTTCTGCAAGGATTCATCAAATTGATTAAAAGTGACTGTAAAGACATTACTAAAATTTCTATTTCAAATAAATGCTGTTCTTTGCAAGTAAAAACAGTGTAACTGTTTTTAACATTGATATTAATAAGAAATGTTTCTTGAGCACCAAATTAGCATATGACACTTAAGACGAGAGTAATGGTTGCTGAATTTGCCTTCACAGGAATAAAATGTTAAAATGTATTTAAATACAAAACCGTTATTTTAAATTGTAATAATATTTTACAATATTACTGTTTTTGCTTTATTTGATCTACAGGTGCATTTCAATAAATTAGAATGTCATGGAAAAGTTCATTTATTTCAGTAATTCAACTCAAATTGTGAAACTCGTGTATTAAATAAATTCAATGCACACAGACTGAAGTAGTTTAAGTCTTTGGTTCTTTTAATTGTGATGATTTTGGCTCACATTTAACAAAAACCCACCAATTCACTATCTCAACAAATTAGAATACTTCATAAGACCAATAAAAACTAATTTGTTGAGATAGTGAATTGGTGGGGTTTTGTTAAATGTGAGCCAAAATCATCACAATTAAAAGAACCAAAGACTTAAACTACTTCAGTCTGTGTGCATTGAATTTATTTAATACACGAGTTTCACAATTTGAGTTGAATTACTGAAATAAATGAACTTTTCCACGACATTCTAATTTATTGAGATGCACCTGTAGATAAATGCAGCCTTGGTGAGAATAAGAGACTTTTCTCAAAAACATTAAAACATTTCACAACCCCAAACTTTTGAACCGTTGTATAATTTCTTTACATTTTCATTTAGAACTATCTAAACATGCATATCTACCATTGACTTTAATTACAAAAGAGCCAAAGCTTGATATCATATAGCAAGAATTGCTAAGGTATAATTGGTCAGTGACATTTTAAGACGTTTTAAGACTTGGCAAAGAGTCAATTGGAAAAGGTGAAAGAAATGGGCTATTTTACTCAAGTCAAAGAGCAAAGTGACAGTTTCACTATAAACAACAAACACCTGTCAGTGCTGAGTGTTTGAACACATGCAGGTCATCCATAGTCATCATCCTAAATTTGGCAAAGATAGGTGCTTTACCCTTTGATGGTTGAACAGTTGCACCTGGTTGTTGTCACTTTCAGTTCTCTTCTCTTACCTGTGGACTGGTTGCCCTGAGCTTCTGTATCCTCTCAACCCCTCCTCACCTCCTCCCTGCCCCTCATCTGCAGCACCGTGCAGCGTCCTCCCTGCCTCCCTCCCTCCATTTCACACTGTTCACTTCAGCCCATTTGGCCCCACGCTGCCCAGCCCAGAGCAGCGTTGAGGAACCAAGCCGCTGGAGGCTCACCTCACCCCTCTTTGCTTGTCTAGGATCTGCACATGGGACTGTAAAAAAGAGAAACCCTGAGTGTGAGAGGGAGATATTTGCTAAGCTTCTGTATCTCTCTGTATTTTCCAGCTGGTTTCCAGTTGAAGCCTTTATCAATGTGGAGTGGGTGGCTTCTTTTAGTTTTGATTAGTTAGGACATTTAGAATAGTTACTAGTCAGTGGTTTGCAAGTTGTCAACACAGAAGCTTTGGAGATGTGCAAGACCATGGAAGTGAGAGGTTTGTGTAGATTTTACTTCCAAACAGAGTGAAGCGTAAAGGAATCAGAGTAAAGAGATCTGTGATCTCACACTGCTGTTATAACTAAAGGTATGCCTGGACCCAAAAATGACAGATAAGATTTCTCAGTTATCAAATTTAATGCTGTATTTGATGGTATGTTTGCCCTTATGTATACATCTACTAACAGGGCTCCAGACTTCAACTAAAATGGTTGAAAATGTGATCAAAACAAAACAAAACAAAACATGACCACTAATTTAAAATCTAGTCACCATTGGCAATAGTCAGGGCAACTTTGCATCCATATGCAGTTTTGTTAGTTGTAATCTTAATAGAGCATGGGCAAAGAACATAGTGGCAGCCATGATGTCTGTCCTGCTTTGAAAAACTGACTCGTGGCTTGTGAGCTGGTTCTTTTTAATGAGTTTAAAAATCATGAAACTAATGTGCTTTTGAGTTAGTTGTTTAAATAAGGCTTGCTCAGGCAGTGAATTGTTCAGGCAATGAGTTCCCTTGCTGAATCACAAATAGTTTTTCAATCTGACTGTAAATGAACCAGGACATGTTACTTATATTAATTAAAAAATAAAATTTTACCATTTGTTTGTATTTATTTATTTATTTATTTATCATAGTCAAAGTCACTTGGCTCCTAAATGTTTAATTTTAAGAGCCAGTGCGTAGCTAGTAATTTGATTTTATTCTGGAGCCCTGTTATACTATTTTATGGAATTTTATTTTATAGTATTTAGTAATTATTTTGCTGTCTAATGTCTTTCTTCTATTTCTTAATACGTTTAGTATTGTACTTAAGTTAGACTGTCATTTTTGGGTGAATCAAAATGGTGTTTTCCTAGATTTGTTCTGTTTGTGTACCTGTTATTGGATTCATGAGGGTGTGTGAAATCAATTTTATGTAACCTGTAGAAGCATATAAGTCAAAGTACAGAAAGAACGATGAGTTACCCTAGTGAATAATTGATTTCAATGTTCATCAACTGATATGCTAAGTTTTAAATTAGAGTTAAAAATGAATAAATTACTTGATAAGGAGACGCAACAGTGGAGAGATAAAACCAGCTTAGACTGTGGTATGTCTGCTATTTTTTTATTCTGACTGATTCTCTGGCCAGATACAACACACTCAGTATAGTAATTAATTATGATGTATGTTTTGATTAACTAGAATTTGATTTACCTTATTCATTTATTATCCTAGTTTTTCTGTACCACAAATCATTTATCGAACACCAGCCGGCTTTGAAACGGTGGAAATCTCTCCACACTGCTGCCTCTTCTGTCTATTTATTTATTGATTTTAACGGTTCTTGAGATTGCACAAAGATGTCATGTAACACGCATGTCTTGTTCAACTGCCAATGCACATTATGCACTTTTGAAAGCCATTTTCCCTCACTTTGATATCTGTGTCAATTCTCACAAAGATAGTTTATGTCTATGTGACATTTGAACATGTAGTCTTTATTGAAAGATGGACAGTGATTCTCCTGACAAGTGCTTTTTCCTAGGGGTCTTTCAATCTTCAGCACTCCAAATTCTTACTTATTCTGTCATTATTACTCGTCCTGTATTTTTCTGTATTTCTCATTTTGAGTATGTAAAACAAATCAGCACTCAAAACCATCCGCTAAAGTCAGCCTGGTCCCCTGCACTTGCCGAGAGAATCATGCCGTCCTCTGTGCCTCTCTGTGTGTTCAAGGGGGGAATATGGCTCCACTTTTCAGTATGTGAGAGATCTGCATGCTCAGCTGCCTGCCTGAGAGCTGCGGCTCGGCTGCCTAACACAGTTAGTGAGCGTCTCCTGGCACGCTCTGCTCATCGCTAATCACTGATGGGCAATGTCCTGACTGGGACATTGGGGGAGGGGAGGGATGTGGAGGCAAATGGATTGTGGGGAGGATGGGTTGATATAAAAAAAAAAAAGGGTTTAAGTTACTCAAGCTTGCCAAGGCAATGTTAAAGTAGTTGGGTGGTGGGTTGTAGTTTTAAGGATGCAACTGCTTTGGGGATGTAGAAGTCCATTGTGTGAGTCTGTGGCATATTTGTATGGAAGGTGTTGCATTCATTTTTATAAATATACTGCTTAGTCAGAGAGCTACTATTTAGGGCTGTAGTCCTGGAAGACCCCAGCACTGTGCATTTGATAAGTAGGACTTTAAGACTTTTCTCAATACGCAGTATTCATAAAACACTAGGCAAATGACTTGCAGTTTTTCACAGATATTCTGAATTGCACATCTGATAGGAACTTTACTCCTCAACACCTCATAGGTCACGTCACAGTGCAAACATGGTGGATGCTGTATGTCTTGTATATATTGTATTCAATATTCATACTACATGCCTGCATCCTTAACGTCTGTTAATAAAGTACGTTCTGTAGGTTCTTCATCAAAAGCAGTATGTAATTTTGGATTTTTGCATCTACCCACATTATGCAGTGCTGGGATAATCCAGGATCAGAATAAAGAAACACCTATTTAGCACTCTCTTTTTTGGAATTCAAAAGATATATTGGCTTTTTGAAACTAGTATAGGCAAGGAATAGTATGTAGAATGTAGAAGTCACAGGCCACCCAAGGGGGGTGGGGGTGGGGGGGTTATTTATGTTTACAGCATGGCCAGTAAAAAATAGATTTCTTAACCACACAAGTATGTATATGCTAAATTCCACTATTACTACATTAATGAATTTATATTTATGCAAAGAAATAACCAATCAGTTTACAAATACTACTTAGTTAATTGCTTCACTCATGAATATTAATTACCTTCAAGAGACTTAATCATTTGCTTATGAATTCATATTCATTAACTAATCTCAACTAATCACACTGAAGTTTTGAGTTGAAACAAAGTATTCTGCCTTCAAGTTTGCAAGTTAAAGCAGAATAGTACTCTAATTGTCTAAGTCATCAGTGTTTGGGGGGTGGGGGTAATACTGTACGTTACAATTACCTTTTTCAAGTAACTGGTAAAGTAACATATTACGACAAAATTACAACAAAATATCTGAGTTACTTTTTCAAATAAGTAACGCAAGTTGCTTTGTTTTCCCATTTATTCACTGACACCTCTCCTGTCCTTGTGTTAAGATAAATTGGGAGTCAGGTGCAGAGGCATTTCCTTCTGCCCGAGGCTTATAAATTTCACTTTTGGTGTGAAAGGTCCTTTACAGTTGCAATCAATTTACAATCAATTTCTGTATAGTAGGCTATTATAGGCTCAATTGTTCAATTGTCTCTGGCTGTCGTCTATAGGTAAACAACAAAAAAGCAGCAAAAGTCAAGTGAAGAATTATAGCAGGAACCTTGGAAACATTTTTAACATAAAACTGAAACAAAATAAAGGCAGTGCAGACAATAAAGCTGTAAAGCAATTTTCTTGCATGGCCATGTGACTGAAATATGAATCAAAGATAGTTTATAATTTGTTAATATTTGACTGTGAGCAATGTTCATAGTGTCATTCTTTCTTTGTTGTGCCATGCAAATATGCAGCCACAAATGTGAGAGTGTTTGAGGATTTGCTGGGCCATTTCTGATCTCTTACACTATACTGCCTTGTCTGTCCTACTCTGCTCTAGGTGGTAGTCAACGCCTTGGTGGGTGCCATCCCTTCCATTATGAATGTCTTGCTGGTTTGCCTCATCTTTTGGCTGATTTTCAGTATCATGGGTGTCAATCTGTTTGCGGGAAAGTATTACTACTGCTACAACGAGACTGAAAAGGCATACTTCGAAATTGATACGGTCAACAACAAAACAGAGTGCTATGAGTTGATACATCAGAACTTCACTGAGGTGCGCTGGAAGAACGTCAAAATCAACTTTGACAATGTGGGTGCTGGTTACTTGGCTCTGCTGCAAGTGGTAAGACTACCTTTTTAGTTTCTAGTAAAATGGTTCTCTGGCTAAAGAAATATGTTAGTGTTAAACACTGATATTAACTTTCCCTTTATACTACATAGGCAACCTTTAAAGGATGGATGGACATCATGTATGCAGCAGTTGATTCACGAAAGGTGAGATGTTTGTGCAATCTTAACTGCCACCTGAGTCAAAGTACCTGTATAAACTATCTTTCTCTCCTCAGGTGGGAGACCAACCAAAATATGAGGACAACATCTACATGTACATCTACTTTGTCATCTTCATTATATTTGGCTCTTTCTTCACACTCAACCTCTTCATTGGTGTCATCATTGATAACTTCAACCAGCAGAAGAAAAAGATAAGTCTCCACTTTTTCTCTTCACTTTAAATTATTTGTTATTTTGCATTTAAACAAGTGGTTTTCACAGTACATTTGGACTTCAGTTGAGTAGATTTTAACCAAATATTGTTCATGACTATACTTTGGAGGTCAGGATATCTTTATGACAGAGGAGCAAAAGAAGTACTACAATGCTATGAAGAAGCTTGGCTCAAAGAAACCTCAGAAACCCATACCCAGACCCCAGGTACATCACTGATGAAAAGAGTGATATTTCACTCATTGAACTGACGTGAATAGAGTCCTAATCTCAAATCTATGCTACTTTCTTCTCTTCTTTAGAACAAGCTCCAGGGGATGGTGTTTGACTTTGTGACACAGCAGGTCTTTGATATTTCCATCATGATCCTCATTTGTTTGAACATGGTCACCATGATGATTGAGACAGATGATCAGTCACAAGAGACTGAAAACATTCTATACTGGGTTAACTTCATCTTCATTGTGGCCTTCACCTCTGAGTTTGTCCTGAAGCTGTTTGCACTGCGTCATTATTACTTCACCAATGGCTGGAACGTCTTTGACTGTGTTGTGGTCATTCTCTCTATCGTGGGTAAGTGAACAATGTTTCATTAACTCCCATTTTGTTTTTCAGTTAGGTTTTGAAATACAGTGGTATATGTTTGGCTCATTTCTTCTTCTTGTTTTTAATCACCCAAACCACAGGTATGTTCCTGGCTGACCTGATTGAGAAGTACTTTGTGTCACCAACATTGTTCAGGGTAATCCGTCTGGCTCGAATCGGACGTATCTTGCGTCTGATCAAAGGAGCAAAGGGCATTCGGACTTTACTGTTTGCCCTGATGATGTCACTGCCAGCCCTGTTCAATATTGGCCTTCTGCTGTTCTTGGTTATGTTCATCTTTTCTATCTTTGGCATGTCAAACTTCGCCTACGTGAAGCGGGAGTCTGGCATAGACGACATGTATAATTTTGAAACATTTGGGAATAGCATGATCTGCCTGTTCATGATAACCACCTCAGCGGGGTGGGATGGCCTTCTTGCTCCCATTCTCAACTACCCACCGGATTGTGACCCGAGTAAGGAGAATACAGGTACCTCAGTGAAAGGTAACTGCGGAAACCCTTCGGTGGGCATCTTCTTCTTTGTCATGTACATCATTGTCTCATTTCTTATTGTTGTGAACATGTACATCGCCATCATTCTGGAGAACTTCAGCGTCGCCACAGAGGAAAGTGCTGATCCACTTTGCGAGGATGACTTTGAGTCATTCTACGAAATCTGGGAAAAGTTTGACCCCACTGCCTCCCAGTTTGTTACCTTTGCCAAGCTGAGCGACTTCGCTGACACTCTGGAGCACCCGCTGCGCGTTCCCAAGCCCAACACTATAGAGCTGATTGCCATGGACCTGCCCATGGTGAGTGGCGACCGCATTCACTGCCTAGACATTTTGTTTGCCTTCACCAAACGTGTGTTGGGTGATAGCGGTGACCTGGACATGATGCGGCAACAGATGGAGGAGCGATTCATTGCTGCCAATCCTTCCAAAGTGTCTTTTGAGCCCATCACCACCACTCTGCGCCGAAAGCAGGAGCACATGTCTGCCTCGGTCATCCAGCGTTCTTACCGTGCTTATCTAATTCGGAGAGGCTTCCTCACAAAGCGCTTGCTAAGCAGCAGCAGGCTGGAGAATGGCGGGACCAATCAGGACAAGAAGGAGGGCACACCTTCTACTGCCTCGCTGCCATCCTATGACAGCGTGACCAAACCCGAGAAGGAGAAGCTGGAGGAGAGTGACAGCAAGGGCAAAAAGGGCAAAAACCAAAAAGATGTCAAGGAATCCAAGTGTTAGGAATGATGGCGACCGAACTCTTGAGTCGAGACTGAAGCTATCTATTCCAACAAATGTATAGAAAATCATTTGCAACAAAAAACACAGAAATCTTTGGGGAACAAGGTTGTTTACAGACAACAAATGCACCGGTGCAACAGGAAAGCAGCTTGATTTTTACAGATTTAATGATGACCAAACCAACCTATGAGCTTACTGTCTTACATTTGTGCTCAGTGACCAAGATTTTACTGTTCCAACTGCAGCCGAAAGGCACTTACAAGGAGAAATAAAATAATGACCTATGGCAGACATCTTTGATAGGGACCACCTGCCAAAGGACAAAGCAGTACAAAGCAAGCTCATAAGATGGATCCTTTTGCACCACCATGCGTGGAGTTCAGCATTTCTCTGCTATGGACATCCCTTTCAAACACTACACTGCCGAAATCCCACGGAAACCTCCCGCTCATCCCAAGAGGATTCCGGGACGTTGTATTTTAACCATAGGAGAACCAGTAATAACGACGTTAACTCAATCATGTGGAGTGTCCGCGGAAAAAAACAAAAAAAACTAAACAGAACATTATGCAAGGGTTTTCAGTTGTTGTGATGAATATCTCACCTTATTTGACCCACAAAAAGTAGGGAAAAAAGCTCAGCCCATGTCATTCATCTCGTCATCATCTCTTTGTTATACTTTCAGAAAAAAGACATTTTATACATGGGCTTTCACATCGATACTGGGTTGGGGATTTATCAGGGTTTTGACTTAGGCTGAAAGGGACTTACTCAGACCGAGTTCCTGGTAAATAAATAATTAATTGTGCTTGTTCAATGCATAGAAATGACTTGCATGGTGGCATGTTTTGATCAGGAATCATGCATGTATAATCATAGTCCACTTGACACTGCTACTCAAACCACATCAGTGGCTTGACCATACATTCGATACTGTCCACTAGTTATCAAATTAAATAGATATAGCTGGGAAATGATTGGTCAATAGCAACATATTAACTACTGGCTATGACAAGTATACTTATACTTACCCCTCGTAAAGCTTGCTTCCTGATTAACCAATTCTCACACCATGCGTCATGTGCGTATTTTAAGGTGGTCGATCAAAGCTATGCCTTCGTTTGGATATACAATGTGGTAACTGCACATTCACACCCTCGTAGGGGTGTTTCACTGCCCTGGACTTGTGGAGAAGTTGGAATGAAAATTTGGAGAAGCGATTTCACTCAAATCAAATCTTGGGTTCATAAACCTTGATTTGCTTTTTTGCACCAGCAATATGATTCAACTGCCCCTCAATGTGCAGCTGAGGCTCCAGTAGGGCCTTCAATAGATCTTCAAAAGGTACAGCCACCATGCCATTTAAACCCTTACAATGCTTTGTCAGGCCTCGGTGGGAGGCGATCTCTTCGATTTTCCTGGAGGTACTTGTCTTCGTGTCAGCACATACACATGTTTTCCATTTAAAGAGGTTGTCAGTTGTGTTAGCATCTTGTTTTGTCTTAAAGATGTTGGGGAAAGCACTCGAGTAGCCATTTTAAATGCATCCTGTAGACATTTAATAGCTTTCTCCCTGTTGAATGAAAAAAGTAACTGGTGTATATTTGGTATAGCTTGGATTACACATGTAAACTGGCCTTACACAGCAGGAAAACAAGGGAGGCGGCACTCTTAGAATAAAGAGATGAGTACTTGTGTTGTCTGATAGCATGCAGTTTATTTTAGCCAGTGATGGTGATACTACAAATTGGCTTGTTGCTACCTCTTGAGCAAACTGCCATCCCTTCTTGCTTTGGGTGCAATAGAAATTGATTTGATTTGATTGTTTCATTACCTGGATGAATGCTTATTCTGGTGTGAGGTGTTATGGTGGACCACAGATAACATAATACAATGCTAATACATTGGTATAGGATTATGGAAGATCATAGGACATCTCAAACTGCTGGGTCAGTAGACGTACGCCACCAGAGCTGAAGTGCGGGAGAGCACACCAGTTTACAAACCCACTTCCTCTACTTCTCAGACCTGTAGGTCTGCTTACTGCCTGAGATCTGTAAATCAGTGTGGGTGCTGTGGACTTAGACCAAATGAAGCCTGGTGAAACACTCAGACTACCGTGTAGTTTCCCCACCCTAACTTCCATTTTAGTTCAGATGTGAAATGGAAGATCACTCTCACTGACTGTATGACAAGTTAATGTATCATTCAATGTACAGGAGGGGCCAATGATGTACATGGCACAATTGCTGAAAATAATGAACTTTTTGAGGAAAACTAAAAGCATTGTAATATATTATTTTCTTTTAAATGGCATGCTTTGTTGTGGGTTTTGTAAATACAGAATTTTAAAGAATTACTGCTATTAATCTAATAATAAATTATAACGATGATGATATAGAATGGCTTCCAGCTGATGCCCTTGTCACATTTTAATTTTTTTGTTTTTCTAACACATTTCACTTTTATTAAAGGGAATTGAATGATATAATGTATCAAGAATACACTATTATACAAAAACTAACATATGAATTTTATATATATATATATATATATATATACTGTATATACACACACACATACATATATATACAGTGGGTACGGAAAGTATTCAGACCCCCTTAAATTTTTGAATACTTTCCGTACCCACTGTATATATGTATGTATGAAAAGGATATACAAATGAGCACTGTAATATTTCATTTATATGCAACATGTCCAGTGGATGTCCAAAAAAATTATGTTGGAGACGAACACACGCATGATTGTTAGCAGCACTGATTGGATATTTAAACCTGAAACTGTATGATGAGAGGGTTATGCAACCAGCACACCTCTGTAACCTTAAGGTTTTATTCGACACGCATACAAACACACATTTACACGTGAATGCACATATACGTGCCATCCTGCCTATGGACATTGTGTGGTCACCCACCCGAGCCTGAAAGTCTAAAACAGTCACAGAGCAGTTCATGTATTCTACTCTAAAGGCCTCCCCGAACACTTCAGTGCCGGTACTCGCGGGCCTGAACAACAGTTTTGTATGCATTTCGTATCCGGTTTTTTTATGTGTTCAGTGGTCTGTTTCTAGTGCTACTTCACTAATTGTCGTGTGCCTTTTTCTGCATTTTCTCCATGTTCCTACATTTTCTGAATTGCATTTCACTGCAATTTTGGAGGATGGTGCCATATTTAACATTTAGTTGATGGTGGGGGAAAGACAGGAGAATTTAAAATGGAGCACAATGCAAATCAGGGACTATAGTCTGAACAAGGTGCCTGGTGTACTGCCAGAGGAACACTGAAACCAACCAAGAAAACAAGCCCACTTCTTCCAGATTTGATGTTACGAAAACTTCTGATGTTCTGTTTTCTGTACTTTGTGTATCATCCAAAAAAAAAAAGTATAGCTTGCCTTCAGACTTTTGTGTTCTTTCCATCTTTGAAACTCACTTTTGTATCAATATTCAGTTACTGGACTTCAATTTTTAGCATGACTAAAATGCTCTCCATTTTGCTGAAAAGATTTCAAAAGTGCTTTTCAAACTGTTTTGTTTGACACAGTGTTGTAGGAGGACACATAATGGTGTGTATGGCACAACCACTGGAACTCTTAATAAGAACGTATAAAAGATTGTCTTAATTTGAGCACGAAACTTTTTATTAACAATAAAGCAGCCTTCCAGTTGCACAGAGTCGTCACTGATTTTGTTGAACATGAATGAGAAGCCAGAGACACATTTAGTGCACACATGACATCAAGAAATACGTCCTTAATCTGCTATGCTCATAACTGGCCCCCCATAAAATTGTAAACACCTTTTACATTGTATTTATTTTATCATTTTATAATTCTCTGCTCTTAAAATCATAGTTTACTCAAAAGTGAAAAATTTTGGTCATTATTTACTTAAAGGGTTAGTTCACCCAAAAATGAAAATTAGGCCATAATATATACCTCCGATTGGATTCGTCTGAAAGAAGAAAGTCATATACACCTAGGATGACTTGAGGGTGAGTAATTTATGGACTAATTTTCATTTTTGGGTGAACTAACCCTTTAACCTTGTTCTAACTGTTCCAATCCTGTATTTCTTTCTTCTGTTGAACACAATAAAAGCTAATTCAACTGTTTTGCCCATCCAATTTAATCAACAGGGTCCAAAAACAACATTGGACCCCATCGACTTCCAATATATGGACAAAAAACACTTTTAAGTTCAATAGAAGAAAGTAAGTCATCTCAAACCCTTAATTTTGTGGGTTTGTCATTGAGAGTTTGACAGTATAAGCTTTCAAATTATTCTCAGGGTGAGATGGGATCTGCACTAATAACATGGACTTCTAAATGAGCGTCACTGCAGATTGTGGCAAGAAATGCTCCTCTGTTCATCTAGTAAGTCATGGTTTAGCAGAGAAATCAATAGAAAGCTATTAGCTGTGAGTTTAAGTATCAATGACACTCATCTGAATCGTTTTACCTCCTAACCTCATGGGGGTTGCATCCTGACCACTAGCTTTTGGTTGAATTGATTTGCACTTTTACCAGTGTAGCAGGATTAGTTCAGCCAATAATGAAAATACAGTTAACATTTACTTGCCCTCATGTTACTTTCATCTGTGTAACCCAAAAGGAGACCAATTTGAATAATGCATCTCATTCTTTTCCTTAGAATTGCAATAAATGGGGACTGAAACTTTTTACGCTTAAAAAAACATAACTGTGGTCCATATATTATATTGCCAACCATTTGAAAGCACACAGTAGCTTTGAATGAGACATTGAAATTTAAGTCTTACTGTCAGCGAGTTGATCTTGAGATAGTTCTCAACCAGGGACATCAAGATCATTTTTAAATTGATTGAATTATTAAATTGACCTCAAGAACTTGATTCGAAAAAATCCGGACACATGACGAAGATTAATTTTAAAAGTGTAAATTCTAGGTCTGGAAAAATCATGTAAATTATTACAATTGTGAAACTCTATGGGCATTCTTATAATGAATATGTAGTTTTCTAGTTGTGCCAAACTCTAAAATATTTTGTGTTCAAAATATTTTTTAAATATCCTACATTTAATTCTTATCCAGTAAATCACGAACAACTGGAAAAGTCATGGGCCTTGGAGTCAAAAAGGTTCATTAAAGTCCGCATGAAATCAAAATTGACTTTATTTACTTTTTCAATTCCGCGTGAACCGGAAATTGCGGCCGACTTTACTTCGGTATGTTAAATAGAGGGCGGGGTTTTATATTAGCGCTCCTCCTCTCCAGCTCTCACTCTCGGCAAACTTCTGCCCAAGCCGTAAACCGTCATCAGAGAAGGAATACCGTTCAAGAGAGAAAGTAGTAAATGTTCAGATTTTGATTAAAGCTCACCAAGACAAACAATTTTTTTAGTGGATTAACTTGCACGGAATAATTGTTCACCTCAAGACTAGCAGTGTACGCTAACAAAGCGAATAGTGTACATTTTGATTTCATGAGGACTTTAAAAGGTTATTCTGATTGATTAAAAGTCTGAAGATCTGAATAAAAAATTATTCATTTACGAAACACACATTTTGGAGCTTGACGGCACCAGTCCTCATTCACTTTTTTTATTTATACTGAAAAAAAACCCCAGAATTGACAATATATAATTTTTGTTTCTTGTGAGAAAGTCGGTCAGAATTTTCCTTTTCCTTTTTTAAAGAAGATGCCAGAAAGGAAAAATAACGAAAATAAACCAAAGCAAAACAGAAAGAAGCGTGACCGCTGTAAACGGCTCTTATTCGAACATATATGTTTCTACCTTTTTGTCGCTTTTCCTCCATTTCACAGCTGAGCAGGATTGTGTCCCTGACTCTCTGCTCCCCTTTCTGCAAGTCACATGGTTAGTTCTCTTGTTTCCCCCCTGCTTTTACTCGTTTCGCCAAACCTTACGACGCATGCTATCCCACCCCCATCGCATCCGTGATACGGACCTGGTCTTTATCGTAAAATGTCTGTCTCACCACCCCCCGTTTCAGTGTGTGCGAGGCGAGGTGGAGACAGAGAGGAGAGAGGGTGCGGCGGAGCACTGCAGTGCAGATAGATGAATGCACCACTGGTGGCTGAGTCAGCAGCCCACTCCCAGTTTGACCCACTGCCTGCACCAACTGTGTCTGAGGAGGAACAACATGCATGCAGCCAACAACACACACACACAGACAGACTGAGTCAATATGTCTCCTGCCTGATTGAAGATGGGTGTTTTGCTTTCGGTGTTTTACTGGCCAAATTACAAATGTGCACTTTAGTTTTCAGGTCTTGGAAGCTTACGAAGCTTGGAAGCTTGACTTGATTCTTGCATGATCTTACATGCATAAAAGTAAATAAAACCTCCTCATTTCACTGTTTTTCAGACTGGTTTTTGAATAAGCTCAGTGCTGCATGTTCAGTCATCATAGCTATTTATTAAAAACAGATAAATTATGTTA